TGAAAAAGTATGGCATTACATGGATAGATATTTCTTGTTCTTATAATGACTTCAATTGATTGAATTAGTTACGACATATTCTATATGCAGGAAGCTTGGTCATCAAATTTTTTTAAATGGCTTAATGGTGCAATCGCCAAAGCGACACTTCAAAGTATAGGTGAAATGAGGCAAGAAATTCCAAAATTCAACTTCGAACTTAAGGCATTGAAAAATTGCTTTGTTATTTATGGGTGCTGTCAATGCTTGGCTGACGTGGAGGACCTTTAAAAGCTTGTAGTTGATTAGGACAGTAGTTAAAAAGTGTTAGATAGTTTATTAGAAAGTTTAGGAATGTACTATGTTGTATCTAGAGTGGCAAATGGATCACTTAGAATTATGTGTTAAAAGTGTTGTAATCTTAATTCAAGTCTCATTTTTGATGTCATGTAAAAATCTACAATTGTTGAATGGAAAAAAGATAGTTGTTTATGAATTATTTGTGCTTTCCATATTCTCTGAAAACTAGTTGCTGCTACAGATTTTTTTTTAATATTGGGATCTTCATTTAATATGCCACAGAAGTGCCCAGCCACGCAAGGAATAATATATTGTAGATTATAAATACAATTACTATCTCTCTCTCTCTCTCTATATATATATGTATGTATGTATGTATGTATGTATGCATGTATTAGCTTGACATTTTTGGTCTAACATGTCTCTAATATGTTCAATCCTAGCATTTTCCATTAAACTATAAAAACCCTCACACCAATATGAAAAAAAAAGTCACTTAAATTAAGATTACTACACATCTTAAGAGGAATAAGGTTTATTTGCCACTTTAGAGTACAACACCTAATCGAAATACAAACAAGATCTAGTTCTTAAATGTCTTTAAATAATATAAGCATTCATAACAACTAAAATTAAAAGAAAATTCTTCAAATATCCCTTGTACTTGCACACTCTTTCCATAGTTGATTGATGTCCTTCAATGTCTCTTTGGGTACTAGACCTTCAAGTCAATCAAAAAAGTCACAGGACCAAGTTTCCTGCAAGCACAAACACACATTTTTAGAAGACCATTACAATTTAACATGCCAATGGCTATTTCATCATATCTAATTTTAATGGGCCTCATAAAAGCATCTCAAAAAATGACTCAAGCAATTCAAGCATATCTCACAAGCATGCGTCAGTATGGTTATTCTAAATTCATCTCAGAAAACAACTACTATAAGCTTTTTTGAGCATACTTGACTATCATATATAGTAGTTACTCTAGTACTTTCTCAAAAAATTAGATCTGAGATGAGCTAGAAACAAAAAGAAAACTCTCAACAAAGTTTGTAGTTTTTTGCATGAGTCATTTAACTCTTGTGTTTTTTTAAGTAGGCTTCCCCCCAGTCTTGTCTTCAATTCTTCTTTTGAATTTAATATCTCAATTTAATTTATTATATCTGTTTGGGAAATCAAAGTTGAACCCTTAACGTAGGGCCAACTTAATTTTCAAGTCATTAACTTGCACATTATTTTCAACATTCAATCTAAGGCTGTATGCTTTCTTCAGTTTTTGGTCTAAATTTTCATACCTTCTTCATGTATTGTTTGTCATTTTTAATGATTCTTTTAATTATTAAAAAAGATATATATCATTAGTGCAATGACGGGGGACCGAGTTCTCGTCAGTGAGATGCATTACGTCAAAATCATTATAATGATGAAAATCCCACAAGCATACCCAAGTACGAATCAATCAAAATCAATACAATAATCAACAGAGAGAGAAACCAAATCACAAATTTTATTGAAAACTGGAAGCTTCAGGCAGGATAAAGGAAATTGGTTTTTTTTTTTAAAAAACCCTTGAAATTAAAAAACTTCAAAACTAGTAATAGCGACCATCAATAGTCAAAACTTTTTATGAAAAAAAAAATCAGCTACCTACAACAAAATTAGCAAGGACCTGCAGTGTGCGAAGGGAAGGAATGAAAAATTTCATAACATCAATCACATATCACAACAATAGCATCCTTTACCTCACACTTTAGGTGAAGGGGAAGTCAATTTGAAGTAGAAGGGCGACGCCACTCTCTAAGCAAGATAGAAGAAAAATGGGAACCATGCAGATCATGCTTAACTAGGAAGACGAGAGGTTGTCTCAGGCAAATTAAAGTGAGAAACCAGGAAGAAAGTAGAAGGAAGAGCTTGGCTGCGACGGGTCTGACAGCACGAGAAAGGGGAGGCCAAATTTGTTTTGGTTCGTTTGTGAGTCGAGTTTAATTTATCTCTGGCTGCCCGAAGCCCTCAACCTAGTTGATGCTAAAGATTCAAACTCAAGTGAGAAATGCTTAAGTAAATTAGGTGCATCACATCATTTGTGATCCATCAAATTCAATTTCTCTTCAGTTGCCTGGAATCCTTAATCTAGTCAATGTTAAAGATCTAAACTCAAGTGAGAAATTCTTAGAGAGATCGGGTGTATTATGTCATTTATTGTCTGTCGAGTTCTATTTCTCTCTAGCTGCCTGAAACCCCTAACCTAGTCAATGTTGAAGATCCAAACTCCAAATGAGAAATATTTAGATATACCAGTTGTACCACGCCATTTGTGATATGTCTGATAAAACATAACATTTAAATGATGTTAAATATAAGTTGATTTTGATATTAATAATAGTGGAGAGAGTGAAGGAAAAAAAATCAAATATGCATTCTGTTATAAAAATAAAATCAATTTAAAAAATGTTACACAGAACTTTATTTAAATTGCTTGGAATATTTTAATTGGACAAATCATAAATTGATGTGATGCATTTGATCTACTAACATATTTCTCAAACTGAAATTTGTAAATTAATCAACATCAAGACGCATATTTGGCTTTGTTATCTAGCTCAACCATTTTTAACGATGTTAAAGGCCCAAGGATTAGTGAGTTTGACATTGAAAACTTTAACAATACAATTCTGACAAATGAAATTATAAGGACCTGAATAAAAATTGGAGCAAATTATTAGGACCTACAATGTGTTTTCTCTTTTATTTTTATCCCAATCTACCCCCCCACACACTCTTTATTTCTTATTATAAATATTTCTAACTATCTCACCGGAACTAATGAAGGGTGGTTAAATCATTAACATTGCCTTAAAATACAATAAACTTTTAATTTTACCCTTATTTAAATGAAATTTTTTTAATTTTGCATTACATTTATTTTCTTAGTTAATGAGTTTAAATATGGACAATATTAAAAAAATATAATTAATAACTCATCAAATGCCTTATATTAATAATTAAAAAAAGTCTTCTACAAAGTATCTTACATAGTATGAGTATGTAGTATATATTTCCTCCAGCTATTATGAAGGTCACTTTGATTCTGGAAAGGTAGTTAAAAATGTCATGTAATAGAAGCTAAAATGGGTGTATACATGGTGTTAGAAGTATGACCAATCGGATTGAAACAAGGGTATGTGAGGGAATCCCCAAAAATGGAGAAGGGGAACGTACCTTTCATTCCCAGACCTTCAATACATGTACCGATCAGCTTTCATAGATTATCTTATTTACTTTTTTCTTTTGTTTTTTGAAAATAAAAGAAGGGGAAATTGCAATGATTGGGGTTTAGGTGCAGAGCGGAACTAGAAGGAGAAGACCGCACGGAGGGAGGCACCTGGAGAGAACCTCCTCCAGCTGCTGGCTGGGAAGGTCCTCAGGAGAATTACCAGTAAACACAAATGTGACTGCTTTGAGAATTTATTCTATAACTATTCCATGACTCTTACATAGCGCTTGTTTTTACTTCGCAAACATTGCTATGTCAAATGTCAGACCTAGTTTGCGAAATGGAATTTTTTTTTTTTTTTGGCTCTTGCTAAACGTCTTTTTATTAAACCATTAAAGCACACATCTGCATATCAATGCGCGTAGAAAGGTGATGTTATTACTAAAACAACCTATCATTACATGCTTTTGCTAGATGTCAGTTCAAGTGTCAAAATGTATTTTTTTTTTTCAAGAGTCAATAAAAAATATCAATTGGATGGATAAGGAATTTTTTTTTATCATTTTCTTTTCTACTTTATTTCAAAAGACCGATCAAATTATTTCATCTGGTCATTTGTTTTGTTTTGTTTTTGTTTACCATGATTTGTTTTGTTATTTCAATTTCAATATCATTATTAAAAAGAAAGCAACATCAAGTACTTTAATGGTTGCACGTGACCACAGCCTGTCTATGACGTTTCATACTCATAACAATACAATAATAGACCACAGTGATATTGAAAATTGAATCCTGAATTTAGTGGAATGAATACCCTGCGTGATCCTCTTTTTTCAACTATATAATTGTACAGCTTTTTTTAGGTTAAAATATCCAATCTTCTCCCAAAAGAAGTGATATTTTCCAAAATATCAACTCAAGATCTTCCAGTTAATACATTGAGTTTTTTTTATAATTGAAATAATGCTATCTTCTTGTTTCCCCAACTGAAGACAGTCCTTGTCAATCTGGACTCATTTCCATCAAAAGCAACATGGGCTGAGCTTCTCTATTCACAAACGAGAGAATAATGGGTTATTTTTCATTTTGGGCTATCCACTCTGCATTCCTTGGTTCCTGCACAACGTAATTATTCATTTTAAATATTGGTATTTCACCCAAAAAAAAAAAAGGCCAGAAAGTTCAAATGCTTGATCACTGACAGATTATATTGTTTCCTAATTTTTAAATCTTAATATGACACCGAACCAATCAATACAAGAATATATTAAATCAAAATTACCGATCGCTATTTACTTACAACTTACCATGTTTTACCAGTTTGCTATCTTATTAGGATGAATACCTTGGTGCAGAGATGCACATGAAAAATTTCACAATTTTTTAAAAATTTGACAATGTTTTTTTTTTTTGGGGGGCTGAAAAAAGGGCAAATTTTTTATTTTTACCTTTAAAAATTACCAAGCCTCAAGGAATAAATCCTCCCATGTTCGAGACAGCTTCGTTTCTTCATGGATAAGCCTGCCACCATCTAGTGCTCTTCCCTTTTTATTCAACAAACTTACATAAAAAATGATGCCAATTAACCAATATAACATTAAATGAAAAACATGAAAGCAATAAACATGGGGATCCTGTCTGAAGACTACGATGTTAACAGTCCCTAATACAACATTATCCTAGCGAATTTCTTGGAGGTTTTGATGACAAAGGCAATATTGGACCTCTCTCATCAGCTTCACTGATAGCTCTGTTTCTCAACTCTAAGACCTTTTTGTGACAGTTGGAGTGCAATGATGCTACGAAAGTTGGACTCGCGGCCGGCCGGTATTCAGGATACAGGCGGCCGGACCGGTACCGAACCCCACATGCATTGCATAGCGTTTTTGGGCCCATAGGTCCCTCCCTCCATTGCGGGGTCTTCGTGACCTGACAATGCATGCATTTTCGGGAGATGATCGACTCATGAGATGACGATCTCTTCATATTAGTAAGACCAGAGACATCCTTTTTCCTCTGCTTCTCTTTCGGACCGTGAGATGGTTTCCAACTGAGGAATGTTTCAAAATCCGACTCAGCAGCAGCTGCCCTCCGAGGTTTTTGGAATGCTCGTGAAGAAGAGATGAAAGGAACTGAGAATAGAGGACTGAGGATTGAGAGAGGTCGTCGTTTGCTGCGAGCTCGCTTTCGGATGACAGGCTGATCGGAGGCATTCTCGCCTGATGAAGAACTGCTGCTTTCAAAAACAGAGACTGGACTGTAGATCTGGAATTGGAAGATATCTTTGCCGTTGGAAGAGACTTTTGGATTGGGAACGCTTTTGATATATGCCAGTTTCGTCGTCTCTGGCACTTCTATTGGGGAAATCTCAGCACGCTGCAATAACGGATATTTAAATACACAAGAAAAAAAGGATCAGATGCAGCAGAAACAAGCAATCTCCCTGGAAAATGATGCATTGATCTATATAATCCAAATAAAAAAATGACTGCAAATTAATTATTTAAATAATTTCGGCCATCATTGAACATAGAATACCTGGACAAAACATCAGGTTTTCCAATCCCTTTACTGAAAGAAAATTACAAACAGTAAAGGTAAAGATAGATAAATTTGAATTTTAGAACATAATTACTGTGACAGATAGACTCTAACCTACTATTAATTAATTAATAATCAACATGAAAGAAGAGTCACTCTGTTCTCTTTCCTCCAATACTTCTCATTTTCAACCTAGTTCTTTCTCATTCTTCGTTCCTTTTCTTTTTAAGAACCATTAACCAACATTAACCAACATGTACTGTTGTAGCTTCCACAGCCAGGACATCAGAAGTCAGACATCATCATCGTGAGGCAGGGTGGTCACAGTGTCTCCAGGACATTCTGAGGCAGTTGTAGGCGAATTTAGCATGAATTTTATTATAAACTTATAATTTATTCTGATGTCTCGTGGCTGCCAAAACTGAATAAAGACATCAGGGGCACACTTGAAAAGCTAGCTTTACTGCTTTTCATACACCTAATAGGAAACAGCTAGCTTGCAACAAAAGGTTGCCTGATTATCCTGCCCATTAGGTAATGCAAGAAAACTGAATCCCTACCACTTGAATCTTCCCAACGTTTTTCTCTTAAATTACACCAATGTCACTCTGCCAATCTATTCTCTTGTGCAGGCAGAATTTTGATCAACAGTTCTTAACTGCTAGCTAGAAGTCACTTCAGCATAGGGTGTAGTTATAGGATGTTGCACAACTAAAACCACCAGTAGGCTACCAATACTTCTTTCTGACCATCTTTATTCATCTCTGCCTGCGATAAAGTTCCTACAGAAAATCATTCTAATCTTTCTCACAGATTCACAACAAAGAGATGAAAGTATTCCAACCAAATATTTCGACCACTGACATGGATATCAACTACAAGAAGTGTGCAACACGTCATATTGTACTCTACATGATGACTACATTAATGTTTCCTATGAAAGGCTAGGATAAAATATATGAAAAATCTAGCTAATTCAAGTATAGATCCTATAGAATGAACAGCCATCGACAGAAACTGAATGAGTCCTTCGAATTGGTACATGACTGCATTCATCTTGTTTCAGTGTCAAATAATACAAGCCTGTACATAATTAAGCCCCCAAAAACAAGTGCACTGCATTCAAATAAAAACAAGACTTCATCTTAACATAACTGCAATACAAGGAACGGCATACCAGAAATTAACATTAAATGAAGGGGAGAAAACTTACAGTAGTAGAGATCCTCTCAAGTTTAGGATTGCCTTTTCGAGTTTTATCACAAAGCCCAGAAGGCGAGATGGAGAAAGCATCAAAATATGGCTCTTCAAGGCATTTGAATTGGGCATCCCAATCTTCTTCCATGGCATTAGCTTCCACATCTTCCAGCGGGAAATCAAAAAATTTGATGACATCATCAAAAATTTCATCCGACAAACCATTAAAATTCTTGTCAAAAAACCAAGAATCCTTCATGTTGTTGATACCCTGTTTCAACATATTATTATGCAGAAAAGAAAATGGAAGACGGATGCTGTTATTTTATGCTCATATTGAGTGAAACACTCAAAAAAGAACTAAGAAGAAGAATGCATCTTTGTTTAAAAGTCCAATTATCAGGCACGTAACAATAACAGTAGCAAAACATCAAGGGGCGAAAGCTATTTCACACGATTGAAATTATTGTGTAATTAACTAGTGAAAATGAGATTTATGCTCAATACATGGTTATATAATACTCCTCCAGTCTCATTTATAAGGCAATGAAGGATGTATTTTTTTTTTCATCATATTTATAGGACATGTTATTAATTTTTTATCACAATTTTTCCCTTTTACCCACCATTCAATGTTGGTGTACATTATCGAAAATTCTCTCAAGTTTCTCACTCATTATTTCATATACAGGGGTAGAGTTAGAAATTTGTTAAATTTGGATAGAATCAACGAGCTTTCTGTTTTCCTTTGGGTAAAACAAGTAAGGAATGACTTATAAATAAGAGTGAAAGGAAGAAAAGCTAAAAAACTCTTATCCACAAGTCCAAGTTTCTAGAGCGAAAATCTTCCCAAAAAAAGGACTTCCCAGTTCCCACCGCGAGTATCCTACACTGATAGGAATTACCATTCAAGGAAAACATCAATTTAACGGGTCATGTCATCACCCAAGCAACCGTCACAATCCTTTTCCATCCTAACATAAAGAAAATTGCCTTTTCAGTAACATGTCATATACCCAGCACACCGTTTAGCCGCAGAGAAAATGTAGCAGAAGTGATTAAGACCCAAATTCGAAAAATTGTATTATTTTCAAATGCAACAGGCCGTAGATGCTAAATGCAGGGGATGCTGGGGTTCAATATTCATTCTTACCTGCTCAATTCGAGGTTAATGCAAACAAATTATGTAAAACTCCTTTTCTTTTCTTTCCCTATACCTCAACTACAGTAAACATACCGGAAAAAAATGAACTGCATACAGCCGAGCACACAGCTAGAGAGAATGTGAAAACACAATGAGCCTATCAGAGAAATTAACAGGAATGCACGAACATGAAAGAAAGTCCTCTTACAAAAAGAAAGATGTGGTAGAACTTTGAATAAGACCTCTGAAACGGAACCTTCAGCTACTAAAAGGGCATGGAGAAGCGCATTGCCAAGTTTGCGGAGGCGGTCACGGTTCTCACAGGAAACAGAAAACACACTGGTCGCAAGAGTGAGGATTAAATGTAAAAGAAATGATTTTTGCTGTTGTTTGAAGTTGGTAAAATTGGGCATGTATTTTGTGCCTCTGCGATGCAGAATCCCTCATCGTGGTCTCTGCGATCTCCACCGTTCCTTCCCAGTCGACGACGCAGGAAATGTTTCCCTTCCCTTTATTATTATTGTTTTTTTTTAACCACATGACAAAAATGAATATGACGTTTTTAAGCGGGATATTTTGGTAACATTCGTTATCGAATCCAAGTGACCGTGTTGATTATTATTATTATTTTTTTGGCCAGTAAAAATTGTAATTATCCAGCAGCCATTGACAGTAACTAGAATGAACATCCCATGGCCACGCTTTTGTGCTTTGCATGGGTGTCCTTTAAATGTAATTTTGTCTATCTAAAATATAAAACATCCCTTTGATCAAAAAAAAAAAAAAAACATCTCTACGTCAAGTATATCTTTAAGAACAAAAATTAGATAGTTTTAATATCTCAAATTTTTAAACTATATTTTTCTTTGATACTAATCATTAATTATTTATTTATAAAAAAAGTTGATTAATTTTGATATACTCTTAAGGCATTTTTGGTAAAAACATATTAAATGCACTTAGAACTGCTTCACAGATTGCTTTGTACTAAATTGAAACATCAACTTCTAAAAAAGTTACTCCCCATGCTTATATATAAAATACTTTTAACCAAATTTTATATACCGATACAAATTTATTATTTAATTAAAATCATATAAAATCATAATAATTTTTAATTTTGCTTCTAATAATGTCATAATCAATATCATGATGCCAATAAGAACAACATACAATTAATATCTCTCTTTCATTTTTTAAGATAAGGATAAAATTATTTAATTATTTAAAAATATCATGACATCTCTTCTATTTAAAGCTAAAATAAACTCATAGAAAATACTTTATAGGGATGGAAGGAACATATTTGAAACAGAAGTAATTTATTTGGACATTCTATAAGTATGGTACTCGCGGACATGGAAAAATTATAATTATTGATGAAACAAATATTTCACCAAAACTAATATAAACAGATAAAATATACAGTTCAAGGCAAGGTTGTCTATCAAATTTGCCCACTATTCATAAGCTCTTATCTTTTTCGCAAAAAATATATAATAATCTACCATTCATTTTGTGACAGAGGGCTGATAATAATGTAAATTATTTGTTGTCATTGTGTTGTGTGCAGCAATGATATTTTTTTATAATGAAAATAATGGTTTTTTTATTGCTCATGACATGGGTATCTTTGTTAAAAGTAATCATATTTTAAGTATAATTGAACATTAAATATAAACATTAATTTTGATGAAGATTTAAACATTAATTTGCCGCATTGTTTAAAATATTTTTATTGTATGTATAGAGTTGAATAAATAAGCTGCATTTTTATACTTTAGGAATAACATAATCTTTCATAATTTTTATGATATATGTTGCTAAAATATTCATATGATTTAACATGTGACTGTTGTACAATTTTATCAATTTGATTGTGTAAATGATAAATTGATAAGAATCGTATATTTGTTACTTATAAATTTCAATATATAGCTAAAAAAATGCCATGAAAAAATAAGACGGTTGGTCAAATGAGGGGGCAACGTGCATAAGATGTGGATCTATCCACATTATTATTATTATTATTGATTATTGAAGACAAATAGGTAGATCTGGAGAAAAATAAATAATAATATTTTGAATGTTTGTGTCATTGTCATCCACAGATATGATTAAGGCGTCACCGACGGTGCCCGCGGGATGAATGAGAATTATTGCACCGGCAAGGGTCTGTTTGTTTAAGGACTTTCATAGATTCCGAGTTTTTGGACAAAAAACATGAGAAAAAGCAAAGTCGAAGCGGAGAACGTACATTAATCTCCAATCGTGATTTATGACAGAAGACTCTCAAGTCAGGATGTGTTAGATGAAAATCATCATGAACATTTTAAACATCATTTCCTTTCCCTTTCCAATTACGATTTTTTTTTTTTTTGAAAAAAAGAGAGTTAAAGCTAGCTTACCAAACATGTATAGTGCTTTGTCACTCCCTTGACTTCCCATTCGTGCCTACCAGACGCATCCTGACAATCTTAGGGGTCGAAATTAAAGGTGGGGCCACCATGTTTGGCGATACTGCAAGAGATAAGTGATGAGTCCATTACATGAAAGTTGGCCACTTGTCAATTTCAACTCTCAAATCATTCGTTCCTCTCTTCAAAGGCATCAACAAATCCTCCCCCCACCCGAATTTATCGGTCACAGATATACTAGTAAATATAGTAACCTTCCACTTCTTCCTTACACTGCTTCTTTCAACACGCTTTAGAAATTCTGGTGAATTTACTGTTTTCATTTAGATAAAGCATTTTTAAATATATTTTCCTTATCTTTTTTGTAATGTCCCGGTAAAGAGTAACCTGCGCATTTCACCAAAGACAAGGATGGAATTTATGTTCAGGCTATTTGGCACTTTGATTATGGATGCGTGTTGGTTGCATACGCTTTAAGCCATTATGTGGAGCCCTAATCAATCTCTTGTACTGAGAGAAAATATGGAAAGCATTATTCTAGGGAAAAAAAAAGGTATTGTTTATGTTATTTAAATATTTTGTAAGAAGAGAAATCTGAAACTTAACTTTATATGAACATGATATTAAGATTTCCTTTCATGTTATTTTGTTAGAAAGGAAATCTGAACATTAGCTTTCTTTGGACAAGTGATTAAGATTTCCTATAATAGGTAGGAAAGTTAGTTTGAGTAGACTAGCTTGCATTTGTAAATGGGACACATTTGATGAACAAAATATTGTGATTTGAGTTTTTGAATCCCTTCCTCTTCCTCTTTGCGTGTGTCTCCCTCCCTTACTCCCCCACTATTATGTTCTTCATATTCATTTCTCCTTTATTTCTAGTTTTTCTCTACTCTCTCCCTATGTTCAGCCCCGTGCAAGTGTGTGTGTGTGTGTGTTACATCATGTACCTTCCAAGAGTACTCAACAACAAGAAGCATCAACCCACCTTTCATTTTCACAAGTTACCATCAATTAACATTCACATCTTAACCTTCAACATTCTTCTTCTCATATTTACTGTAAGAGAGAACGAAAGGAGGAAGACAAGTGTGATCATTGAAGGAAGAAGCTTCCAGTTCGTCATGATTGATATGTTTTCCCATCTTTCCTGCAATATAATATACACAAAAGGAATTGAATAACCAACAGCTGCACACATGTTAATATCTACTTTAACAGAAGAGGAAAATTATACTGTATTATTATTAATCCAAGCATAAAACAGTTCAATTCTTTTCTCCTCATCATAGGGGACTAGAATACTCATATATGCTCCTCCGAAATGTTTTGATGTATCGGCAGACCATCAAATATAGTTTTGGCATCATATTGCAATGTCCCGATTGGATCTTGCATAAAAAAATGTAAAATTAATCGGTTATTCCAGTTCATGCCTTTACGTTCTTAATATGCATGTCTTCTAATTTTATTTCAGCAAGTTACTCCTGCAATTTAAGCTGTCTTGTCACGTTCATTCTTTCCGTTCCCATATAGAAGGCTCCGAATGTAAATGGGAAAAAGTTTCAAGTATTCCCTAGTGGTGACCCTTAGCCGTGTTCATTGAACTTCAACATATATATATATATATATATATATGAGTATTTCGCTCACTTCACTTCAAACAGATTCTCAAGCATATCAAACTTCATAAAGTAAATAAAGGGAAAACAAGGAGCAAGCATGTTGATGCAATTAATTAGATGAGGTGCATCAGTATACTATCTTCAATCAAATTCTTGTTTCCGTTATGTACGAGGGAATGAATTTTTTCTTTCCATATTAAGCAATAACTACAGAACAATAGAACCCTTCCCGTGGGGCAAAACTACCTCACACAATGCACATGCTAATGAACTATCACAAAAATGTACTCAAACATCTGAATCCTGAAGAAATTGTACCTCAGTAAGTTTCTGTAACACATTTTTGTGTTGATTGGAGAAAAGATCTCTTGCATACTCATAGAGCTCTAAGTCAAGGTCATTAAGAGATCGTATCTGCTGAAGAACCGCATCAGAAACCTGAAGGCGTGCCTGGGAAAATCCGAAGTCATTAGAAAGGATTACATTACAATTTGCAAGTCAACAAGCCAAAAGTAGGCCATAGAAAATTTCACCACAATACAAATAATTTATATTCCCATGTAGCCTGAAATACAAGCATTGCCTGCCCATGCTAGAAATGCATATCCTGGTTGGTGGCTATTAGATGTCAAAACCTTCTCAGTGAACCAAGTAGGAAAAGCTACTCATGCGGACAGAATGGAAAAGTGCACCAAATATGGCAGCTCTGACACTAATAAACTTACCTCCGTTGAGAAGTTCACTGGGGATATTCTCTTCAAAGAAAAGAAGCGTCGTTGAGTCTGGGCCTTTCGTAAACTAGAAATACAGTCTTCATAAGCTTCCGTGAGGTCTCCCACAGTCATCTAAAATCAATCGACAATCATAATTGTTATTCAAGATGAAAAATAGATAATATCTAACATGTCCACCAAAAAACTATACTATGCAAACAGGCTTACTTTTGATTCTGTTGCTTCACTGGAAGAAGTCTCAATGGCTCTGCTGTTTAAGGTGCTATTCTGTCTTGAAGTAAGAGATTCAATGAGTAAGGTTTCCACACTAAAACTCCATTGACTAGGTGTCTTCGTGGAAGGAGATCCTCCTTACCTGATGTTCAAAGTTATCGGGTTCAGAATTTGATAGTGAACTATGCCCTGCAATACAAATACGTGATCAATGCCATGTCATCAAACAGATCTAACAAAAATAAGGTAAAGACTAGAAATGTCAACATCCACACGTCCCCTGAGTTTCAATGCAAAAGATGGCACTTGATAAACCCACCCAGATCAGCCCAGACCCCATTATGTGCCACAGACATATCCAAGTGCACATGGTATTACCGGTGCTTTAATCATGCTCCAAATACTGTAAGGTATCATTTGAATTGATAGATTTGAATTTTAGATTTGAAATCCAACATTTCAGATCTTACATTTCAAATCCATATATTTAAAATCCTTGGTTTGGGTAGTTTACAAAATTTCAAATGAAAAGAGATGAACTGAGATTCAAATGAAAATAAAAAATAAAAAATAAAAAATTTATTTCTATTTTTTAATCGACAAAATATGAGAATAGATACGAGAGTCAGAAATATCAATAGTGAAAATATGAAGAGAACATGATGTTTAAAATGATTAGAATTTCAAATGACTGGGATGTAAATGAAATTTAAAATTACAAAGGAATTATAATTTGAAATGAATTTAGTTTTAAATCAAATCTAAATTCATAAATTTTTGTGTATGCAAATGAGGGATTTCGTTCAAATCCAAATACTTGTTAATCCAAACATGCCATAACATTCATTTGACTGTCTGACATACCACACTAACCTATGTTATCAACACTAGTCATGCTAGCATTTGGTGCTCTCAGCTGTGATATCACCTGAGCCCCAACAACGTTTGCAAACATGGAGGCAGATTCTTTGTGCTCCTCAGTCAGACCAACGTATAACATGTCATCTAATCTCTTCTACAAGAATTACAAACATCTGTCATACATGTAATAACAGGAACCCAGGAAGTGGTGAACATTTATATGATGCAAAAAACACAATTCACAACCTAGACAACTTATTCACTCACTACCTTTGCAACTTGAAGCACGTACTTGCCAAGAATCTTATACTTCTGTACACAATGGCGCACTTCATGTGATTCTGCTGCATAAGAATTGTTTGTCAGACCTGCAACCTGTCAATTGAACAGTCCACCAAAAAAATTGAAATGAACACTTGGATACATGAAATGCTAACATCAATTAAGTTTTGGAAATTCCAGAATCTGACTCATCCAATTATATTTGAGGGGTTAAATTCACAGGATATAATATCTAACTAAAATCTTGAACTCTCCATGCCCATAATGTTAGTCAAGTACTATGCTAGTTGCCTAGCTGCACACAGGGTACTAATTTATCCACTTAAATATTGGAAGAACGTTTTCACATGCCATCAAACCCAAAGCCGGGGTATTGGCATATAAGCGTATAAGACATAAAACTGAGAGTGGTTAGTCCAACAATAAAGTTGGTAACAACAAAGGAGTTTTGCACCGGCAAAATATGTGCATATTCTAATGGCAATGGCACATGAGCAGGAATTAAGACTCCAAATGATGTATTCCCATAAAATAACTATTTCAGAGGGCAGTGTAACTAACATAGCAGTCGCAAAATACATAACCTATAAGAAATTAAGAATGACCACAGGGATAAAGAAACACATACTATAGTACCTGGAATGTGGCCCCATTATGTACAATATCCTCAGCCACGGGATGATTGATGAATTCATGCAATGGCATTGCAAATTCTTCCATGTCATAGAAATCATTGCTCTTAGGGATAGGTAACCCCCTACTTTGCCTTGAGTCCCTCTGCCTCACAAAATGAACAACAATACATCACTTGGTAAATTTAGAAGTTGTATCCAATTAGAAGTTCGTGCGTTAGCAGACAACATGGCATCATGAAGCAGAAGTATAATTACTCCATAAATGCATCTATTTCCCCTCTATTTGGAAACCTTAATGACTGTTATTTCCATATTCAAAAGTACATGGATCTGTCCGTGGTCACAATATAAAAGGCAAGTAATCAACTTCAAGATATACCCAATCAGGATGTCCATGATTACTCTTTCCAAATAAAGTCTGGGCCCACGCATTCTTAGATTATAATTATAATAAATCAGCAGGATTATCCATTTTACATCATTTCCAAAATATATTTGTCTTCCACATAATAATGTTCATTCAGTACATCATGCACAGATAGCAATCAATTATTGTCCAACGGCAATCATACTATAAAATTTCACATAAAGATCCAGTCACAGAACAATATGCCCCTTGCAGAATGTCCATATATTCAATTACAATTGAAAGGCTTTTTAATTTTCAGAATCTCAGGAGAAATTGGTAAAAGTGGCATGTCAAAGTTTCAGTTCACATTTGCCCCATTTACAGGAGACCCAATGTGAAATGCCTCTTGCAGTTATCATAATCCACCACCATTTCAATACTCAATAAGGAAGTTACTAGATTAGGTCCCTGATTCACAGGGATCATCAATAGAGAAACAAAAAAGGAAAAGAAATAGAAGCACTCTAATCCAAACTTACCTTCCCAATGATCAACTATCAACGCTCTCAATAAAGATCATTTTCAGAAAAGACAAACGCAGGTGCGTAGACGCTAATTGTCTTACAAGTTACCACATCATTTATTATTTGATAAATCTGATGCTTTGAATGTATCAACACCCCTCTACTTAGGGGGCATGTGTATTTATGTAACCTTCACAACCCTATGTTTCAAGTTCAAATATTATGGAAAAAGAATACACTCCTTTATCAGATATGCTTGTATGTATGAGCAAGGAAAGGATATATTCCAATTGGTAACATCCAGAGATAAAATGAAACGAGGAACCTACCCTGGCAAACAGGTCTTTCCTCATCCATGGAACCAGATACTTCCAGGGCCAGATATCAAGTGTACTTACGCCTTTAGTCTTAGAGCACATGCGTCCAGCAATACGAGTTGCAGATGTCAAGTTTGGATGCACCAAAAATCTAGCTGCAACCTCTACTGAAAATTCATAAGTACTAAAGACACGACTGATAGGATCCCTAAGTATGGTAACCACAGAACTTCTCTCCCTTGGAAGTTTTGAAGTGATGCTAAAGTCATCATGCGTAACTAGAAGCCTGCAGTTAGGTTTGCTGCAAATTCATGAAAATAATAGCAAGCAATTAATAAGAAACTTTTGACAAAGTTTACATTGAATTTTGCATGCAGGAGATGGGTTAAACAACTGAATATACAACGGCTGAAAAAGTTGGGGCCCTCAATAAGCTGATATGCTTAAGATGCCATAGACAATTTAAAATGAAGCGTTACAGTTTTGTTGAGTAAATATTCTACAGAATAGAAGCTGTTATAGAATAAAAGCATATTATATTAGTTATATTAATGTAAAATAATAGCCAAAGAAAGTAAAAACCTAAAAAATATTTTAAATTTATAATGTCTATTTTATCATGTTATCTTATTGTATGGACTTTTCTGATGGTATTACATAGTTTTTGGGATAAGGCTTCTAGTCAAACTCCTTCACATGACTATGGCACCTAAGGTGCTTGACTTTTTCCATATAAAAGTTGCCAAAGGTGATGCCTTTTGGCAAACTTTGTGAAGCCATGGCCTCTCATGCTGTGAGAGGCACTGGAGGTGTTTGGCGCCATGTCTCAGTGCCGTAGACGCTCAGGCAAGCATCTTTAATGACACTGGTAAAATGGTGGGTAAAAATAATTTCAATGCTTCTGCAACTCAGTAATTATTCTAGAATCAGAGAGACATAGCTGATAAGGTTGAGTAACAAGGTTCTAAACCAGGAAAAAATAATTGCTAGAATTTATTAAATGCTAAAGGTTTTTATAAGCACAATAGATTTTTAACCGTCATAAAAGTTTTAAAAAGCAATCACTAGGGTCTCAAAAGTTTTGCTGTCAAAAACTGCAGCAGGAAGAATAAAAAGAATCAGTCCTTTTATTTTAGCATATCCAAATGTATCAAAAGCTGTTTATAGGAATAATAGTTGAAAAGTAACAAAAATTTTAAAAAAAATTGCAGTTTAGTGTAAGATAGAAAGAAGTTAAAAGGAACCTTGGATCAAAGTGCAGCTTATCGTAAGAACGAGGGCATTCGAGAGAGCTGGGATACAACTTCTTCAAGAAACTGCAGATACAATATACCACCAGAAGCATAGATCAATGAGTTTGTCAAGATGCAGGTCTTATCTTTTTCAGATACCTAACGGGAACCATACAGAATTACCAGTGAAAATATGTGCGTCCTCCTGTTCTTGGGACATGGAGGAAAAATAGCAAATCTCTTAGTGTGTGTTTATCCTCTCTAATTTCTTTGTCAAGTGAAGAGTGCGCCCAATTTCTAACAGCTCCTTCACAACGTCCAAAATCATGTTTTGTGAAAGAGGCATCCGCTAGTGCAAAAAAAGAAAGAAAGAAAGAACCCCAATGTAGACCAAATTAAAACAAAACAATTATTAAAAAAAATCAATCGAGAGACTAAACATGAAAATGTATACCTAGTCCAACAAGCGTCAACAGCACACAAAATTTTAGGATACGATCCATCCACAAATCTCCTGCTCCTGGAAGAGCCAAATGAAACACCGAAAAGGAGACCAGCAAATGAGTAAATAAATGGAAATGAATTACAAGCCAACTGCAGGTTAAGAGAACAGCTGCTATCTTCTAAATTCCTTAGACCTCGTAATGGCTTCCCATGATGAAAATCCTAGTCAAACACATTTCTACATCAGCCCAAGAAACCCCCCTATCACGGTAAGTCGTTTCTAAGCCCAAGCCAATATAACAATAAACTAGAAAAGCGTAGAACTCAACCAAACACCGGTGATTAAAGGAGCATCATATTCATATAACATCCGGAAATGGTAAAGCAAGAATGCGACATATTCAATGAAGCAGCCAGAATACCTTTCAGTTTCACAAATATGGAAAGATTGCAATACATTGTAGGAGACCAGGATAACAGCTCAAACAATAAGCTAAATAAACCAACGACAAGAACAGAGCACGAAATGAAACACACAGACACACATCAATTCGAGTAGTAGAAATATACGAGTAAAAGCAACTAATGGACCCGCCTGTATCGGCCTCAGGATCTCGTGCTCATAAATTCCCAAAACAATGTTGGCACTTGAATAGACAGACCTCAGTCAATTTGGACCCACCAACACCCCTTTCAGAGCAGATACTGAAAGTCTCTGTCCCGAAATTCCTCACCAGCCAACGTGAAGTTTGAGAATTTTCCCGGGAAAAGAATGACCCCAGATTTTACAGGCCTTTCCTCGGGAGTTGGTGGGTTTAATAACGATGTGGAATGGAAGACCGAAGACCAGTGTCCTTTCCCTGCTAGCCGCATTCATAGACAAAGGAGCTGAGAAGGATTCCCCAACTCTTAAATCACGGAACAAAAGGGGACAAAACAAAAAGAGTAAGGGCATAAACGTATAATGCAATCAATACTGTTATATCAATAACTTTTATTAAATATATTTAACAATTTTATTTTTTTAAAATTAAAAATATAAATTTTTAAAAATATTCATCATTTAATATATTAAAAAAAGAGATAAAAATTAATTATAAAAAAAAATAATATTAAAATTGACATATTTAATAAAACATTAATTTATTTAAAGTGTTTTATATTTTGAGATAGAAAAAATTTTTTTAAAAGTATCCTATAATTTGAGATAAAAATAATATTAATATATTATTTGTAAAATTTACGAGTGTTGGCCGAAGAAGCAGAGGGTAAATACTAAATGGCGAGAAAGAATTTGTTTATATGTAAAATTTGTGTATATAATATTTTTATTGTTATTATTTCAAAATTTCCATTGAATATGGATCATTTGAAGGGAGAATCTGTTAAAAAGACCAAGTTAAAAGATAAGTTATGTCCAGGGATTAAGTATTTATAAAGCAATTTGATCGATTGACTGAAATGCCCCTGTGCGTTTGGGCCTATCCGCTTCTCATTATTCGATATTCATCTCCTTCCCCTTCATCGTCTTAGACCCCATTGGAGGAGGAGCGGTTCTGGAGAAATGCAACAGAGATGGTGGCAATCCAATCCAAACATGAAAGCCCCTATTAGTGATGGTTTGTTCAGAACGCCCTCTTTCCTTAAGATTAGGGGAGAGTGTGGTGCGCATAAGGATTTCTCTCTTCGATCTTGCTTTTCCGATCTCAATCCGGTGAGGTGCGGGTGCGCAAATCTTCATGACAGCGAGGCGACGGTAAGGCTACGCCGAACAGCTTCAAGTTTGGGTTTCTCTGATTATTACCCAGTGAAATTTTTCTTGCTGGTTTTGGAATCTTCTTCTTGAGGAATGAGAACGAACAAATTCGATTATTGCTGAATCTTGTCGACTCACCAAACTGTGAATGTCGACTCCCGCGACTAGTCGAGTCACCGGACTGAGAATTTAAAGGTTCGATTGCTTTTTTTAACTTTTCACGTTCGTAAAATTTTACTTTTAAAAAGCAAAAAATTATTTAAATAAAATATTTTATAAAAAAATACATAATACATTTAAATAGTAATTAAAAGTGAATTTTTAAAATATAATTATTTAAAATTTTTAAAAAATAAATTAAAAAAAAGAATATTATTTAAACATATTATATCAAGTTTAATATTTTATTTTTATTTAAAAAATAATTAATTTATTAAAAATATAATTATTATTTTAATAATAATAATTAGACTTGACATTTTTAGTATTTTAAATTAAATAATTAATCATGTTAATTTTTAACATTAATGTATAATAAAAATTATAAATATTTATCATATTTTTTAAAATTATAAATGAAAAAAATATAAATCACTAAAAATTAAATTTATAGCATTATAGATCAAAATTTATGTTATTTAAAATTTTTATCATATTTTTTAAATATTTTAAATATAGTATATTTGTAAAATAAAAATTACAAATTGTTATAAATTAATTTTTTAAGTACATTTCACTATTATAACCCAAACAACTTTCAGTATATCAAACTGACTTTTAAAAAAATGTATCCAAATACAAATTTCGTTACAATAACTAACTTTCACTAAATTAACTTTCATCAAATAAACTTTCACTAAATAAACTTTTGACAAACTAAAAATCAAACATACACTTAAAAATTATCAATATCAATTTGGTTTTCTAGGTTGTAGATTATTGATTGTAGATCTGAGTTGTTGAATATTTCAATTATTGCTTCATATTTTTTATTGAAGACATGAGCTGGATTGTGTGATATTTTGGTGTTCCATTTTTTATTTTGTACAATCTTGAGTCTAGATGCATCTTTGTTAATCAGGGTGCAGGGTACAGGGTTGTAGATACAAGAGATTTGGTGTAGGATGTAAAGGTTTTGACTTGAGTCTAGGAGTATGGACTTAAATCCAAGGGCTTTGACCCAGGGTGTAAAATGCAATAGGTTAAGTATAAGGTGCAAAAATTTTGACTTAAAAATGTAAGAATATGTTTGCTCAAAAAAAAAAAATGTAAGAATATGAACTTAGGGTGTTAGGGTTTTCGCTCAAGGTGAAGGTGACGTGTTGGCCTAAGGAACAAAAGTTTTGGCTTTTTTTCATTAACACATAGGGCATTCGATCAATTGTATATATTATTTTATGAATAAAATATTTAATTTGATCATTAAATTACACTTGATTCTTGAGCATAATTTCTTATTTGACTAGGAATTTATTAGCAATTCTTTCTTATTTGAATCAATGCATTATGCATCATAACAAAATATAGATTATTTTTGTTTTGAAAAATAAAATTATAAAGTAGATTTATAGATAGGTATAATTTTATTAAAAATTATCTTATAAATTAAGATAAAAAAGTATAAAATATAATAATATTAAAATTGATGTTACAATAGAGTGAGAACACTTTATTATACTTGTTCAATCCCAATTTTAGAAGATAGTTTAAAAAAAATTCATGTAATAATAAAATTTATTGATTACATCTTCTTCAAATCCTAATTTTCAAGAATCAAAAGATAATATTAAAATAAATATAATTAATAAACAAAAGATCATTTCTCCACCACAAAAAGTGACCCTCCAAGAAGTGCAGGGTGTCGATTTTCATCTCATCTAAGGTTCCGTTTGGTATATTAGAATCTTGCCTTAAGAATTAGAAATGGAAATAAAATTTAAAACATAGTTAGTTTGGTATGTTAAAAATCAATTACACCAAATTTGATGGAATTGATTTCATAAAAAATATTCAATTTTTAAATTCCATCCTTCATTTTTCATCTTTTACCCCTTCTTCTCTTACTCCATTCAACTTTCCATCCACCATCTTAGCACCTAGCAACCAGCGCTGGCGACCTTCTCAGCATTGGAAACCTCTAGCGACTTCTAGCACCTAGCGATAGTGACCTTTGGCTTTGAGATAGCGACTACGAGCAACCTCTAGCCACAGAAACCTCCATTAATAGTGAAAATCGATAGCAACTCTTCCTCTTCCTCTTCCAACAATAGCAATCTTCGATTTTATAGCTAAAGCTTGAAGGTGACTTCAAATCTAACCTCCGATTTGCTAAGATTGAGGCTCAAAACCAAAAGGAGATCGAGAGAGAAACTACTTTGATTTAGGTGTTCTCTCCCCCTCAATCTTCTAAGTCTGAAAGTGTTACACAAAGAGAGTGATTTCTTAAATCTAAATCTTCGTTTTTGATTTCTTGATTGTTGTAGAGCAAGTATTGAATCTAGATTTCCCTCACAATCTCCCTTTCCCTCTTGATCTTCATCTTCGATTTCTTGATTGTTGCAGAATAAAAGTGTTGAATTTGGACCTCCCTTTTCCTCTCAATCTTTGTCTTTGGTTTTTTGATTGTTGAATCTCCATTTGTTGTTTCAATGGTAACTTTTGTTGATTGTTGAATCTAGAGTCTTGTTGATTGTTCTTCGATGGTGCGGTGGTTCTTTCAGTAGCAATATGGAGAAGAGTGGTTATGTTGGTCTAGGTATTTTTTCAATAAGGATATTTTGGTCTTTTAATATTATGAATGTGTTTTGATAAAAATTATACCAGGATTTCATGGACATACCAAACATATCATTAAACCTCATATTCACTTCCATATCCATTTTCATTTTTACTTTCATATCTATTTTCATTTTCATCAAAATAATTTCCATCATATCAAAGAAGCCATAAAAACTTCACTGTAAAAGCATTTCTATGGTGGTGGTTTGTTGCAATATGTGTTCTTTTCTTTCTTTCTTTCTTTCTTTTTTTTTTTTGGGTGAATCTCTTTCACTTTTCTCATCTTCACCTTCTCTCTGACTTCTTCCGTTCGTTTCCCCTTCTTTTTCCAAATCTGGTTTCTTCCAATCTCCACTTGCTCAATTGTCCCATTTTTCCGGCTCATCCTTAATTTTGACCAGTTGACCCATTTTTTGACTGATTCATGCAACTAGCGGTTTGATGGTCTCTATCGAACCCGACCACTGGCCAATTCCCAATTTGATCAGTCATTTTTTTTTAAAACCCTGGTCAAGAACCTTTTTTCACTCGTTCCAGCTTATAAATCCTTTCCTCGCAAATAAATCATCACAAATGCTTTTTCAAAACAATCCTAAGATCACAACCACCTAAATAATTGCATCACTCTTTACGTTACACTTCAACCATCGTTGCAAAAATCATTAAAATTATCAAATCGTTTTATAGAATTTTCAATTTCTCTTTAGTTGCAAGGAAAATTAATTAATTAAAAGTATATAAGCATAAAAAGTTGAAAAAATATCCATCTGTAAATATATTTAAAAAATAACAAATGTACGGACATATAAGCTTAAGAATAAGTTGAAATATTAAAGATAACAAAAACAGAAAATAAAAGAAAAATCCTTACACCTCATTACGAGTGAGATCGCATTCAGCGGGTTCCAAAATTTAAATGAGTTCATTAAGCTTAACATGAAATATGAAAGGTATAAACATTTTTTATGGACCAGTTTGAATCTAGTGTATAAAATCGTAAATTTTAATTTATTGGGTTTAAGATAAAATATTACAAGAGAAAAGAAATCCTTGTGCATTTGAAACCATGAAGTATGAATTTGTCCCAATAATCTCTACTCTCAAAAGTCTCAAAATACTAAGCGCACATAAAGCATGAGTATGGATGCCAAGTCAAGAATAATATCACCTATACCAGATTTGAGATATAAGCTTCTACCGAACAAGTATATAAGATTTTACAAATAGCAATCCCCCCATCCCGCCAATGGTTTAGCAATACAGCCCACTGTAAAACTCAATTTGATTGAATGAAATAATGGCTTCTGGTAATTTATCATCACGGAGACAATAATCTATTTTTCTTCAAAAAAAATAATTAAATTTCAATCATGAATTTAT